AAATATTACCCAAGAAACAGAAAGAATTAATATGAAAAAACCCAAAACAGTAGAAATTAAAAGAGAACTAACTACAGATACCAGAAAGATTCTAAAAAGTAACAGGATATACTAGAAAAAAATTTTTTTGCAAATAAAGTTTACAAATTTGATGAAATGGTAATATTTAGACAAATATAAATCACTAAGAAAAACTCAAAATAAAATTAAAAACCACAATAAGGCAATGAACCCTTAAAAACTGGATTACTGCCCTGGCCAGTGTGGCTCAGTTGGTTGGCCATTGGCTCAAGGAAAGGTTGCTGGTTCAGTTCCGGGTCAGGGCACAAGCCTGAGTTGTGCAATCAATCCCTGGTAGGGGGCCTGCTGATCATTGTTTCTCTTTCACATTGATGTTTCTCTCTATATATTTCTTCCTTCTCTCTCTAAAAATCAATTTTAAAATCTTTTAAAAAAATTGGATTAGTATTAGATTATGTTAGATCTAAAGCCCAGATGACTTTCCAGGTAACCTTACACCAGGAAAAAAAAAACCATTGTTTTATATAAATTGCTGCAGAAAACCACAAAAACAATAGCCACAAAATAACAATCCAAACTAGACAAGCATGTATAAGAAAAGTCAAGTATAGACCAAAGTCACTTATAAATATAGATGCAAAAACACTAAATAAAATGCAAGCAAAAAAATGTCCTAGTTTTTCTAGTTTATAACATTAACAAGGTTTTATTTCATGTATACTTCCTTCAAAACTTAAAATTTTATTCGTTTTATGTCAAAGATATTTGTCATTATCCTTTCACTGTTGAAAACATTTTTATAGTGTTACCCAGAATAACTCCTATCACCTCTGAAGAATTCGGTAAATGTAAATCAAATGAAATATAATGCTACAGGCTTAGCCCTTGTGTTAACAACAATGAGAAGTGTATCAGTGACAATCTGGGGGCTCTGCTCCATGCCAGGATTAAATACAAACAGAGAGAACTCTCCCAGGAGTCAGCATGTTGTGTAAACTCAGGCCTTGAGTAGTGTCCTGAGGCCCAGGCCCACATCATCATAAGTGCACCTTTCAGTTACATTTTCTCTCCTAACCTTGCTCTGTAATTATCTGGCAAAGACCATTTTTTCCAGGCCAGTTGTAAGGATTCTTTCTAAATTAACTGGGGAATGGTGGTGTTGACAGCCCAGGGAGTCTAAATTACTAGCACTGTTGCATTCCCATTTCTAGTACCATATGGTTAAAATATGCTAAAGGGGAAGGCAACATATGGTTTCTTTCTTTCCCTAGAAATTTAGATTTAGTGGTGGCATACTTGGTAGCAGTTTGCAAAAGAAAAGTTGTTTGAAGAAGCCTGAGAGAGGTTGTTCTATTAAATTCTATTGACACATATCAGTGCAAAACGGGGCTCATCAAGAGCCCCCCACCTTTGTCATCACAGGAATAAACACAGTGCCAGAGAAACTGAGGCATGAAATGAGGGAACCCCTCAGAGGGGAGTGATTCCCAGCACCCAGTGACATTTACAAAGGAAGAGGTAAATGAAAGGAACCGTCAACCATAACATTTCTAAACTTGCACTGTGCTTCAATTGCAGCCCGAGTCAACAGAGAGACTACTTTCAGTCAAGTGATAATAATAAAAAACCATGTTTTATCCAATTCAGAATATGCTTTTGCTGCATTTTTTTACCTGTATAATTATTGTAGTACCTGTATGTTTTGATGCTGATACAAGGTTTTGGATTAGGATAGAAATTTAAAATTTATGGTGTGTGTGTGTGTATGTGTGTGTGTGTTCCTTCATCTGACATTCATGTGGCTCTCTCTGGAGACAAGATTGCACAGTATAAACAGAGCAAATTTTGGAACCAATAAACTTAACTTGAATCCTGGTTCTTTCACTTTCATACTTGACCTCGACAAGTTACTCAGTGAATCTCAGTATTCTCATCTGTAAAATAGAAATTTTAATACCTACTAGGCAATAGTTAAAAGAATTGCTTAAAGATGCATAGTATAAATAAGTAATAATAACATAATGTAATAAGAAATTGTTTTTGCTACTAGTAAACTGATAATAAGCTGACATTTTAAAAAATCTCTTATGGATCTTTAAAATCTTTTTGGACATGCTATTATAAAAAAATGAAAAAAAAGTCTATAATCAGATACTTAATCTTTTGAAAGAAAATTTCTTAAAATATAATAAACTATTTTGTTTTGATTATACTTAAAATTTATGTTCATCATAATTAAATTTTATTGAAGCTATAAAATTGGTTTAAATGCTGTTTATATAAATCATTACCTAGATGTACCCACATCTATCAACAAGAACATACATTGCACTTCACAAGGGTCTTTTGAGTCTTGTGAACATTGAGTACATTCTTGATTGAAAATCTAGAATCCATAAAATAATGGGTTCAAGGTTTAACTTTCTGAAGACTTAAAGATTTACACATGATAAATTAGAATACAAGATCATCAACAGCCGAAACAGGTTTGGCTCAGTGGATAGAGCGTCAGCCTGCGGACTGAAAGGTCCAGGGTTCTATTCCGGTCAAGGACATGTACCTTGGTTGCGGGCACAACCCCAGTAGGGAGTGTGCAAGAGGCTGCTCGTTGATGATTCTTTCTCATCGATGTTTCTAACTCTCTCTGCCTCTCTGTAAAAAATCAATAAAAAAATATATATTTTTTTAAAAAGATCATCAACAGATTCAAAGCTTTTGTTTTAAATTAGCCAATTTCTTTCATTCACTCAGTTATTTATTCAATTAAAGAATTACCAAAAGCCAACCATATTTTAATTTGGTCACTAAAGAAACAAATATCTCACAAGCCAGGGGTCTTTCATCTTTATATCCTTCCATCACCCAACTGCCTTCCTCCAATTAAGCCTCTTCTGAATTATCTGTTCCGCCAAGAATCTAACTTCTGTACAAAACCAGCAAACTCTCCTTGTCACTTTCATGTAATCACACACCCTTTGGAATCCTTGAAGTCACTCTTTCATAGACACATGCTTTCTGGAACATATTAGTAAGTTGTGTAGTTACCAGAATAACTTTACCAATTAATTCAATATTTTCAGGGTGTTTCTGGGTGTCTGGGTCATTTGCATTGCTATCAATGGCTTTTTTTTTTTTTTTTTAGAAAGAGACTACCTGTTAACTTTCTCATTGTAAAATAAACAATGCTGCTATATGAAAGTTATTTAGTTGCTTTTGTGATAATAAATACTAACTCCTCAACTATACTTCTTTTTCTATGGAAGGAAACAACAATTGTAAGGAGGTAGAATGGCTATTGACTGGACATAGGGCTTGCTGTGCTAGAAGGCCCCTCAGACAGAAAGAACAGTCAGGGAAGGCAGAGGCAGGAGAGAAGGGAGAGTGCCTGTGAGGGGGGCGTGCAGGTGCGGAGTGAGGATAATGAATGAAGTGGAAGAAAGAGGAGCCACGATGACACCTTCTCCAGTGCCATCATACCACTTGAATTTATGGTAAGTAAAATCAAACTATTCAAAGGAAGTAAAGGTGATACAAATTTGAGATGGCCACAAAGGAGAGAAAGAAAACTCACCTAATGGGTCAGCTACAGGTTTTGTTGTAATTCAGCAGCCAAAACCTTGCAAATCCTTCTTTGGTTGGTTCTATCCACTAGCAGGTCTCCATCTGCATACTCCAAAGATGGTAATGATTACCTAAGCACCTTTCTAGTTGATATAGTAATTTATGGTCATTTACCAACTCATTATTACAATAGATTCTACTATTGTTCCATTATAATACCATTTTTAAATGTGTTTTATTGATTTTTTCAGAGAGGAAGAGAGAGGGATAGAGAGTTAGAAACATCAATGAGAGAGAAACATTGATCAGCTGCCTTTTGCACACCCCTACTGGGGATGTGCCCTCAACCAAGGTACATGCCCTTGACTGGAATCGAACCTGGGACTCTTCAGTCTGCAGGCTGACGCTCCACCCACTGAGCCATACTGGTTTTGGCTATAATACCATTTTTAAAACTGTTGCAATGAGCGCACCTGTGCAACCAGCACCCAGACTGAGAAACAGAATAGTGCCAGCACGCTAGAAGCCTTCCTGTACATGAGTAATCCTGACTTACAACAATAAAGGTTAGTTTTTGCACTTTATATAAATGCAGTCATGCAGTGTGTATTCTTTGGTGTATCTGGCTTTTTTCATTTAATATTATGCTTGTGAGAGTCATCCATATTCTAGCAAATAGTAGTAAGTCTTTTGTTTTCATTGCTCTGTGGCATGCTATTGTGTGAACATATACCACAATTTGTTTTCCCATTCTAATATTGGAGCAATTGAGTAGCTTTCAGTTTGGGGCTACTATGAACATTCCAGTGCCTATAAAATTACAATAAACTACCACATAAAGCAATGGTTCTTGGGAAATAATGTGTTCATATTTTCTGTTTAATAAGTGCTCATATGTTATTTGCTACATACTAGCCTGTATTCTCTGTACTTTATAAGTATTTATTTTTATAACCCTACTGATCAACCTATGGAGTAGATACTATTATTATTCCAAATTAACTTATGATGAAATAGAGGCACAGATAATACAGCAAGTGAATGGTAAAAAAAAAAAAAAAAAAAAAAAAAAAAAAAAAATCATGGCAGGTTAGAGCTGTGACTCCGAGAATATCCTCCTTGGGTGAAGCTCGAATATTTCTTAGTCATGAAAACCCTTTATTTTTCCTTCCTTGGGCCCTAAATATTGGCCTAACAGTTTCCCGTAACATAGATACTATCTGAGCTTCTGAGGAGATTTTCTCTGCTCTCTGCAGAGAGAAGCAGAGCACAGTTTCAAAATTCATCCTCACATTCCCATAGACTTTGGGAAATTCTGTGCCAACAGAATTAGGAGATATATACATGCTTTCCTCTCCAGCTAGCCCACCCACGACTGTTTTCCCTTCTCACGGCAAGATAAGAAACACACAACTCTATTTTCCCAGCGGGCTTCATTCTTTTATTCATACCACAAATGTGTGCAGAACTTACTATGAGCCAAGAAAGTGCTAGGCATTGTGGTAAATATAAAATGGAATAAGAAAGAACTGGTAATTTTAAGAAGTGTACAGTCTTCTGGAAGAAATGAATAGGATCTCTTCACTTTTTAAAGTATGGAATATGAAACATATGTGTATAAGGGGTGATATTAAAAAGATTGAAGAACCTATCAAGATATAAACACTGACCAATTGGAATGCATGTGGTGTGTAGTGTGTCGTGTGGCAGGCCATAAGGGTTGTGCTGGCCCTGCCTGTCCTTCAAGGGGCAAGACTGCATAGAAGGCTGTAGCCAGAGCAGGGGACACCTCAAATGCCAAGTCACGTGCCTTGACTTTATTCTCTAAGCCCCACTGAACCACAGAGCTGTTCTGAGCACGGTTATGACACAATAGGAATATGATCGGAGACTTGTTTCTCAGCCCTTTAGCCTACTGGAGACCCAACGTCACAGCATAAAGAGGATTGTTCTTTTCCATTCTTGTCACTTTATTTCTTAACAACCTATGACCCAAGCACTGGCTTATAATTTTTTCCACTCACTGACGTTTGCTCCAAGTCCTTGAAGACCAGATCTGGGTAATTGCGTTTGGACATTTGGATTATGGCAGAATTGTCATCCTTCAAGAAGCAGGCAGCCAACGGAGCTTCTGACGTGTGTGTGTGCCAGGGAACAACCGAAATAAAGAGCTCGCAAGGGGATGCACAACGCGACTGGAACTCCCCTCTGCCAGCTGGCGCCTCTGACACTTGTGCTTCTTTTCATGATGTTTCCAACTTTTGAGACTACTAAGTAAGCCAGGGAAGCAAAGGTTAAGCTGGGGGGCTGGGCAAATCCCAGAGGAGTGGAACAAATGAAGGAATGCGGAGAGATGTCTCAAAGAGACACTTCTTTTGAATTAATCTCCATAAGCATGTGCCCTTTAGCACTATTATTTTTTTCTTTTCTTGAATTTGTCCTTTGGGGAAATGGTTTGCTAATTTCTCCCATATGAACTGAGCACTGCTTCATCCACCGAGGATTAGTTGGCTACATTTATCGTGTGGTTTATAAAACAGTTTGAAAAAATTTCCTGCCGCACTCTTTGCAAGAAGGATGGCAGGGCTGGAAGAGTGTGAGCACTGGTCTGAGAGTGCTTGGGTATGCATTTTGGCTCCACAATACATTTGCTGTAAGAACTTGGGAGGGTTTCTTATTGTCATTTTTCTCATCTGTAAAATGAAGACGATTATGTTAGCTGCCTCATATGGTATACTGAAGATGAGTTTTAATGTATATAGAAGAGAACTTGACATGTAATAATAACACAGGAAATTTGAGTTGTTTCTATGATATTATCATCAATACTACTAGAGGTCCAGAGGCTGAAATTCATGCACTGTGGGAGGGAGACGGGTGGAGGGAGTGAGGGTTTCTCAGCCTGACCTGTGCCCTCTTGCAGTCCAGGACCCCTTGCTATTTACCGCCCGCCTGCTTGCTCCTTACCACTTAGCTCACTGCTCCTTAGCGCTGCAGCAGAGGCGGGAGAGGCTGCCACCACTGCTGCTGTGCTTGGCAGCCATGAGCCCGACTGCTGTCTGAGTGGCACTCCCCCTGTGGGAGCGCACTGACCACCAGGAAACAACTCCTGCATTAAGCGTCTGCCCCTGGTGGTCAGTGTGCATCATAGCGACTAGTTGTTCTGGTTGTTCCTCCATAATGGCCACTTAGGCTTTTATTATACTAGTAACTAGACATCCGATGCACAAAATTTATGCATGGGGGGAGGGGTGCTCCTCAGCCCAGCCTGCACCCTCTCCAATCTGGGACCCTTCGGGGGATATTCAACTGGCAGTCTGACATCCCTCTCACAATCCAGGACCACTGGCTCCTAACCATTCCCCTGCCTGGTTGCCATTAACCATTCTGCCTACCAGCCTGATAGCTCCCTAACTGCTCCCCTGGTAGCCTGCTTGATGCCTAACTGCTCCCCTGCTGGCATGATTGTCCTCAACTACCCTCCCTGCCGGTCCGATTGCCCCCACCTGACTTCCCTAACCTGAGGGTACTGAGGGACTCTGGCTGGATGAGGCAGGGCTGAGGGGATTGGGTGCTGCCATCTTGTGGCTGTGGGCACCATCATCTTGAGAGGGCATAGCAGTCAGCATATTCTCTCTTTATTGGCTGTTGCCACCACCATCTCGTGAGGGTGTGATGGTCAATTAGCATATTTCTTCTTTATTAGATAGGATAATAATAATAATTAATTTTTTTACCCTGTGCTTTTCTATGTCTTTTTCTAGTACCTCTTTGCTAATGAAGACTAAGTGTGTGTGAGCCACAAATTACAAAAGATACATGTAGCTCTCAAGAAGCATAAATCACCCCAAAAATACTAAAACTTTTAGAAATGTAATAGAAAGCCAGATAATTTTGCACATTTTTTCTCTCTGAGATGACAGAACTCCATCAAGACCTCTGTAATTTTCTGGACAAGGTAGGTTGCTCTGAATAATTCTCTAATCAAAGATATGTTAAGATCACTGAAACACCTGCTAGCTTACTGAATGAAAATGTTTAATCAATATCATTGATTTATTCTTAAAACAATAAATGTGAGGATGTCACACTTATTGGACTAGTAAACCTTCCTCCTCACTGTTCCTCTGATACACTTGCAAAGGTGTGTTTTGTAGAGAAAACCGCTTTTCCAGAAAGAGCAGCAGTGGCCAGGCATGCACTTCACAGGTTATTTTAAATACCCATTGCAAAAGAAAAGTTTGAGCAGATGTGAAAAAATGGGAAAAACCATCTACCCAGAAACCATGTGACTTTTATCTCACTATTAGTTTTAGGAGTAATTATAACACTATTCTCTGGCTCTTGTTGGCCATCAAAGAATGGGAATGTTAAATTTTCCTTACAGAGACCCTGAGATATTTTTAAAAATTAAAAACAAAATAAAACTGCAAAGTGCTTTGAGTTCACAGAGCAAGGACTGACAGTAGAGTGCAGCATGCACATCGACAGATGGCACTCTCTGTAAGTTTCAGTAAGACCAGCAGCTCATTGTTATGCTATTTTATAAGGAAGTAGGTCAGCAGGAAGCTCCAAGCTGGAAGAGAAAATGGGGGGGGGGGGGGGTGAGGGGTGAGGGAAACACAGCACTAATAGTGTGGGATGATCAGTTCTTTGAATTATTCATTCTCATCGTTGATTGCTTAACTGAGTAAAATGGATACAAAAATCCAAAACAGCTCTCCAGAATTCAAGATATTATGATAACAAGCAAGTCTCTCTGGCTTGGAAAGATCTGTCTGTTTTAAAGAACCTAGGATGAAGCTTTCCCAACTTCTCACCCAAATTTGTTTAAAGTTAAAGGAAAAGATAAAAATGCAAAGCAAGGAAACTAAGACTCTCAGGCAAACCCATGCTAGAATCTGGGAGGGCTGTCCAGGGATGTCAAACAACTGGGCAGAGAGAGATCAGCGCTAAGGATAGGGCATGATGGGAATTTTAGTTTTTCATGTACTACAACTTTCCAGATGGGCAGAAAGTCAGGAATTGAGATTTAGGGAGGAGACTCCATCATAAACCAATACAATTGTCAATTAAAATATATGGTAATAATTGCTCTAAAAGCCAAAGTATAGGCCTAACAATAGAAAAATGGTGCTGTTAAAATCTACTGACATACCATTTGCATTGAAAAAATGGTTCCTTGCCGAAACCTGTTTGGCTCAGTGGATAGAGTGTCGGCCTGCAGACTGAAAGGTCCTTGATTCGATTCCTGTCAAAGGCATGTACCTTGGTTGCGGGCACATCCCCAGTAGGGGGTGTGCAAGAGGCAGCTGATAGATGATTCTCTTATGGATGTTTCTAACTCTCTGTCCCTCTTTCTTCCTCTCTGTAAAAAATCAATAAAATATGTTTTAAAAAATGGTTACTTATCCTATATAATAAAGACCTAATATACTAATTAGGCTGGAGGACAGAACGACCTTCAGGAACGACCAGTGGGTGGGGCCGCGGGGGTGCAGAGGCCTCAGGGTGCCAGGGGTCAGGAGGCAGCCGGAGCTGGGAGAGCCCAGCCCCTTGCACAAATTTTGTGCTTTAGGCCTCTAGTTTAAGTATAAATAGAGAAAGAAAAAAACACACCCAAAAACCCAAAAGCCATAATAAACTGAAAATGGTGTAACTGAAATAAAAGGGAAAAGGAACAAAAATAACCTCTTAAAGTTAATTACTTTAGAATGATGTCTGTCATCTTTTATGAGGTGCAAGAAAATATTTTTCTCTATAAAATAGGAATAGAAAGTTAGAAGGAGAATGAAAGAAAAAAAGAGACATGAATGGTAAACAACACATAAAATAAAACTAAAAATGCAATTGTAACTCAGAAATTCTACTCAATGGCATGTACCTAACCCTAGAGAGATTCTTAATAAGTGTACCAAAAGATATAGATATATATATGAATATTTATCATATAGTAGTTTGTATAGCAAAAATATGACAACAACCTTAATGTCTATCAGTGAAATAATGGATAAGTATACCCAGCAGGCATGGCTCAGTGGTTGAGCATCGACCTATGAACCAGGAGGTCATTGCCAATCAATGATTCTCTCTCATCATTTTTATATATATATATATATATATATATATATATATATATATATATATCATCATTTATATTATATATATATATATATCCATCCCTTCCTCTCTGATATCAATAAAAATATTTTAAAAGAAATAATGAGTAAGTAAATATAATTTTGAATATTTAAAATAGTCAATTGTTAAATGAAATTCACAGCAAAAGCAATAAACCCCCAGAATTTGCACTGTCTGAAATCAAATCAGGGATATTAAGGACAAACTTGAGTAGTTTTCCCAGAAAGCAGAAGAAAATTATGAAATGATAAAAATGCTAAGACCGGAGATGGTAGTCATAGAAGACAGAGAACCAAAACTATACCCAAAAGTTATAGGTAATCTCAAGAAGAAAAAACACATGGAGTAGACATAATCATAAAGATATCCCATAGGGGAGAAAATTCAAAACTTTATATGAATACCACCCCTAAGACTTGAATATTAAGATCAAAAGTATTCCCCATATTCAGGCAAATATTCACTAGAGAGAAAAAAAGAAATAGAACCACATTGAGTTATGTTCTGGAAAAAAAACTCACACATCTTTAAATTCAAACATTAAGGATGTTTATTTTAAGCATCCTGGAAGTAAAAAGTTAATGATTTCTAATAAAATTGAACCACATGCTATTTATAAGACATTTTCCACTAACAAAATTATGGAAATCAATGCAGCAACATCTCTTACGGAAAACATTGTGAAGGTAAAAATTTCAAGACTTGTGTTCCCAGAGAATATAACTTTAAGGTTTGAAGGAAAAAGAAAGGTATTCTCAGGTTTTTAAGAACTTAAAAAATAACTATCCATGTGTGATTCTTGGAAAGATTAAAGTTGACCTAGAGATGAATCCTACTAAAGACCTCAAGCAAAGGAAGTTACAGAATAATACATCAAACCAGTTCAACAGAAAGGTAATCTCAAAAACTATCGCTAATATCGTTACAAAACAGAAGGTAAACATATTGAGTAAAAATTGATAATTATCTGTTTCTTATCTTGCAGGTAAGAGCAAGGGAAACACAGAAGTGAGGTAACAATAAACCTAAGGGAAACTAAGCTAAATATCTCATTTTGTATAAAGGGAGTCAAAAATCTATCTTTTCTGTTATTATCCTGATAATTAAAAACTTTATATGAATACCACCCCTAAGACTTGAATATTAAGATCAAAAGTATTCCCCATATTCAGGCAAGTTAAAGTAGTTTTGAAGGTAATCTGTATACAATTAATAAATACTAGTCAGTGTAAAAGTTTATGATTACAAATATTACTAAGAAAACAGGAAAAAATTGCAAAGCAAGATAAAAGAAATGTAAGTAAAATATAAGGTATAAGTATTGTAATAATTGAAAATTTCCTAATAGAAGGAAAAAATTCATATCCAGTTTAAAAACACTGAAGCTTATGAAACTTATAAGAGAGATTCTAAAACAAACTGATACAGACAAGGTAAAAATAAAAAAGTGACAAGTATCCATTGGACAGTTTCAAAACAAGACAGAAAATACTAGTTTGAGAAAGGGGTAAAGATATTAATGGTGGCTAAAGAAGTTTTACATACTAATAAA